ATACAGGAAACAAGAAATGGAAAATTATTTGTTGACGATAACACGTATGTTGATGTGCTTGATTGAGCTAATATACAGTGTATTCTGGATGGAAAATCTCATTTTGTATGCTGTAATGATGTACAGTGAATGAATGTAAATAAATAAATTTAAATTAAAAAAATTTACTGGAGGGCACATGTGCTGGCTGGAGAGAGAGAGAAAAAGAGAAAGTGAGACAGGACCCCTCCTTGGGCATAGTCATGCCTCAATTCCTTCTCTTCCATTTTTCTTTTTGGGGTCTTGGGCACACATACACATAGGCCCGGCATGTTTTTTGTTTGTTTGTTTTTAAAGAATTATTCCTTATTTATTTGCTTATTTATTTATTTATGTACTTTAATTTGACCAGAGAAGAACAGAGTGAGAGAGAGAGAGAGAAAGAGAAAGAAAGGGAGAAAGCAAGCCTCTAGGTCTGGGACTTGAACTGTGATTGGTCATGTGGAAGTTCAGCGCCCTTAACTACCACGCCACCTGCTTGCTCCCCATTCCCCCACCTCCGCATGTTTTTTAAACTGCCAGGTCTAAGAGTCAGACTACACAGTTGGCGATGTGGGATCCAACTATCTTAACCACCATGCCACTGGCTGACTCAGTTGTTATACCTCTTTAGTCTCTTACTTTATAATAGTTGTGCCTATATTTTGTTTTTGATGATGTTAATGTCTTTGAAGAATCCAGATGAGCTGTCAGATGTTTTGGATATAATTATTTCCTCATTATTAGATTCTGGTTAAATTTTGGGGGGGCAAGTATACCATATTGTATACTTATTTTCTATTCCTGTGCAATAAATTATCCTAAAACTTAGGCTTAATGTAACAGTAGCTTACTGCCTTCTACAATTTCTGTGGGCCAGAAATTTGGGGGCCGCTTGGCTGAGCAGTTCTTCCTTAGGGTCTCATATTCATAGTCATGTTTTAGGCAGGCGTGCATTCATTTGTAGTCTTGACTGGGACTGGAGGATCTGACTCCAAGTTGGCTCACTCTGGCTTGCAGATTGGTGCAGGCTCTTGGTGGGAGGTGTCCATTATTCTTCCTTGGGTTTCTCCATAAGACAGCTTGAGTATCTTCATAGTGTGATGGCTTGTTTTTCCCAGAAAAAGCAGTCCCAGAGATCAAGGCAAAAACTGTACTGCCTTTTATGACCTAGCTTTTGAAGTAGAACTCATTTTTACCATATTCTGTTGGTCATATGAACTAACCTAGTTTTACTGTGGAAGGGGAATTACTCAAGAATTTGAATAGCAGGATTATTGGGGCCATCCTGAAGGCCAGCTACCATAGCTTTTAAACTTCTAAGTAGTCAAGAGTTTAAATCATTTTGTATGTTCTTCCTCTCTTAACTCCATTTGAATTCTGAAGTCACCAAACCTATTTTCCTTGTCATTTGTAATGCCTTGTTATAAATATGTTTCAGTGTTCAGAAATTTGAACAATTAATCTAAAAGTAGTTGGCTTCTGAGATAATAATTTTTTTACATCTTTCACTTAAAAGATTTTCTGCTTTTCACTTT